TGCGGCCGACCCAGGTTTGATTCCCAGCATTCCACATGGTCCCCTGAGCACCGCCAGGAGTAATTCCTAAGTGCAGAGCCAGGAGTAACCCCTGTGCATCGCCAGGTGTGACCCCCCCCCCCCCAAAAAAAAAGCAAAAAATAAAAAGAGAGAAAGAAAGAAAGAAAAAGGGAGGGAGGGAGGAAAAGGAAAGAAAGGAAAAAGAGGGAAAGAAGGAAGGAAGGAAGGAAGGAAGGAAGGAAGGAAGGAAGGAAGGAAGGAAGAGGAATCATATTATTTTCTCTGAAATTCCCACATTATCCATGATAGTCCAGTGTTCGGTATAGACTCAACAATTATGTTTTGAATAAAAAAGATAAATACCTTTGAGTTACTAACCATGATAGTAGCTAAAAAAAGATAAGCACAGATAAAAGCCACTCGTTTCATTCAACATGTATGCACATGTATATAATGTCTACTTTGCCAGAAGCTAGGATTCATGTTTTAATGGAGGGAGGTACACACAAAGAGAAATCATTTAAATTCCATAAATATCATAAAAGTTTTATGATGACTTTACCATGGAAAAGAATCCATCAGTAGAATATTTAAATGTGTACGTTGATGTTAAGTTAAAGAAATGGGCAGTAAAAGAAGTGAACTAGTTAAAAATTTGTTTCCCATGGTTTGCATGCTACGAAGATTGATTGAGAAAGAACAAAAAAAGAATAGATTCATGATTTCTACTGTTCTCCCATTTATATATCTAAGATTATCAGTACTCAAGAAGTCTATTTCTGACCTAGATTTTATTGTTACTTATGCCCAAGGGGAGGGGAAAAAAATCCTCATTTACATACGAACAGAATGGCTCTGAGATGGAACTACAAAGAATCAATTGATGAACACTCTGTTATTTAATCCTCTGACAACTGTATCTCAAAAAGTAAGATTATTTTTTATATACTGAAAAATAAAATAAAATTCAACACTATGCCTCTCATTCCAAAAGGATATTTGAACACTTGACTTTGGTTTTGTGGTATCTGGTTTTGTTTTAATCGTTGAAACTTTGAAAGATGTATTGTGAATGAACTACTTGATAATCCAAATAAAACCTTATGCCACTCAATTCTTTTTTTTTTTTAATTTTTATTAGTGAAACACCATGAGGTTCAGTTGTAGACTTACAAATTTTTGTGCTTGGGTTTCAGTTATACAATGACCGAGTACCCATCCCTCCACCAGTGCCCATTCTCCACCACCCACTTAATTCTTATTTTTGTAAAAATATACATCTGGGTTCACAAAGTAACATTCAAGCCAACCTTAATTCATCCTCAGCAGAAATATTTTTTAGTATGCTAAAGGGAAGATTATTTTTCCTATGAAATATGCAACAATGGTATTTATAAATCGGGTTTTAGTTTTGCTCAGGAAAAGTCCTGCAGCAAATACAAACAAAGCCGAGCTGCAGAGAGCAAGCCAGCAAGATTCAAGGCCGCCATTGTCACACCACAACCTGCTGCAGCTGTCGCCTGCCCCCTCCCCACTCGCTTCCCTGCTCCGCCTGCCAGTGGAGGAGAAATGAATGGGCTCTGCACAGCACTGAGAGTGGCGCTTAGAGACCCCTCAAATCTATCCGGGCAAACTGAAGGGAAAAACTATGTGCCAAAATAAAATTTTAAATATTGCCCATACAATTCCTCTTTGCCTCTGAAATTTCATTAGCAGCATCAGGGAGTGCCCAGCCCAAAGTCTAACGCTACGTAACCCCCCCAGCCTTGCCGCTCTAATAGAACCTTTCTAAGCAGCAAAAGAATGTTACTGCAATCCATTTGCTAGGGGTGAAAGCAAAGCCTTTTTGTCCCAGGAGGCAATTGAGCAACCACCAGAGACTCTAGCTGAATAGCAACCGAGTGGGAGAGTCAACAATTCCCACACTGAGAAGCCCAGTCTCAGAGGAGGGGATTGACCAAATCCAAAAAGAACTACATAAAAAAAGAAATGCAGCTATTGAACTGACAGAACACAGCTGTCCGTTAGCAACATTAAACAAAATGTCTTCTTTATTTTTTTTTTTTACATGATACAGTTCTCTCTTCTTAATTTGGTATCTCAGTTGCCTTTTCCCTTTCAAGACAGAACAATGTGAAACATAACGACATACACAGGTAGTACTGGTTTCTAAGCTATTCTTTCTCCTGGTGTTTTTTTCAATTCTGTATCAGGAAAGAGGAGTTGTTTAATATTAATATTAACAGACTTCTGATAAAGTATTATTTCTAATATTTCTACCTAATAATGGCACAGTCACTAGATTTTAGTTATTGCCATATGAGAATTACCTATATGCATTCATACTTGGCATTGTTATTCTTTCCGTGTTCCATTGGATATGGATCTTTCCACCTTTCTGTCTAGCCATTTGGGGGAGGATACAAAAGAAAGCGGAAAAAATCACCTGAACCTGAGGAACCATTTTGGGGTGGCTCTAGTATCAAATCGTTTTATAAAACTAGAACAAGAAATCACATCTCCCCAAGTCCATAAGCACCACACACGCGTTTTCTCTAACTTTCACTCGAAAGAAATTAGATATGTTGAGTTCTCACCAAACGTAGCTGCGTCTGGTGTACTTTGAGGAAGGGCCCGGGAGTATTTTTCCATTAAACCGTTCCTCTCAACTCAGATTCTGCAACTCAGAGCTGGCAACGCCTTGCCCTGGTCGTCTGAACTGTACTTTGAAGTTTCTAAACAACATAGGCCCCATCCCGTCCCCGATCTCTTTCTTCCCTCTCCCCATCCCCAACCCCACCCCATAATGGATGCTCGCCCGGCTGTTTTTGCAGGGCCTCTTTGTCTGAAGGATACAGTCTGTGGATGCTGGGGGAAAAGGGGTGGCGGAGCGATTACCTCATCCCATGCCGCTTGCACCAATCACCACTCGCCTGCCGTGGCTTCTCCGGGCAGATCGAGGGGTCTGGACCAACAGGAAAAGGCCCCAGCCCATCCCCATGGTGACCGAGTTGTATTTAGGGAGCCGCATCCGCCCATGTGCCGCAGGTTCTCTTACATCGACCGCCTAAGAGTCGCGCTGTAAGAAGCAGCAACCTCTCCCCCTCGCCGCCGTCTCCGCCGCAAGCAGCAACCATGGTGAGCGCTTCCCCCCGATCGGGTCCTTGTGGCCGCCGGGTGCAGCCCCCCGAGGTGCGCCGGGCAGCCTTGTCCGGGCGCCTTTCCATCCTCCTCGGGAAAGGCCGCCTTCGGCTTTGTTTCTGGGGCTGGCTTTGCCGCAGTGCGGGTGCACCAGCCCAGCGCCAGCTGCGCCCGGGGCCGTGCGGCCCCCCGGGGGAGAACAAAGGCACAAAGGCAGCTGGCAGCGGGGCTGCCCGTGGCCACCTTCGGAGCTGCCGGCAGCCCGTGCTGGCGACGGGAGACGCCGCTGGCCGTCCCCGTCCTGGGGACGCGCGGGCCCTGGAGGCTCTGCGCTTCCTGCCTCGTTCCCCTGGAACCCGGAGAGGATCCCCCCACCCAGAGGCTGCGGATCGGGCTAGGGCAGCAGACCCCGGGCCAAACGGAGGCGTTCCGGGGGCTCAGAGCGCTTTCGAGAGCGCTCGGGGCGCGTTAGCGGGGGACGCGGCCGGTCCCGGCGAGCCGGGGGCGGCGGGTGGCGCAGGGGCGCGGTTGTTTGTTTCAGCTGCTCGGGCCTTGGAGCCGCTGGGCGGGGTTCGGCCTCGCTAAACCTCGGTCTCCCGGGACCGAAGAGCAGCCTTTCATCTCTGCGGAACTGTAGGCGTTAAAAAGGTTGTTGGTGCATGATGAAGACTTGGGGTTAAGTCGTTTTCCTTGGAGAGCAAAAACCACGGTTATCTTTGCTGGCCTGGAGAGGTAGCGAGAGGAAAAGAAGAGAGGAGGCGGGCGGGGCGGGGTGGCGGAGAGGAGAGGAGAGGAGAGGAGAGTGAGATTTGAGGGTAGTCGTGTACTTTCGGGGATGAGAAAGGACACCCTAAAGCTCGGGACGCAGGGAAACGCCCTTCTCCCTCCCCCTCCCCCGCCCCCATGTGTCAGTGAGGAGACAATGGGATTGCAGCCACCCAGATCTACCAGAAAAGAATTGCTACTGAGTCAATATAAGTGTTCTGCAGAGGATAAGGAATCTCTGAAAGAAAGCACTGTCTTGCTTTTTAAATAAGTATTATTTCACTGGGCTTTGATTCTTTAGAAGCTTGTCATGTGAGACTTGTTTCTAATTTAGGAACTGTACATACTAAAAAATTTCCCGTATTTTGCAGTCGAGAAGGTTCTGGGGGGGAAAAAATTAAACGAATGAAATAACTGCAAAAAAAAAAGAATTGTACTCTGTGTACACCCCTCTATTGTTCTAGTGCATCTTCATTAATTTATTTCCATTCAGGCAGATGGTTCCAGCCTGGGTCAGAGGAGGAAAACTGGCAGAATAGCACAATGAGATCATGTAGGCAATTGCTGGAAATCGATCTTCTCTGTTAAATAATGTAGCAGACTCTAGGCCAGTCCTAGGCACTGCAGCGCAGCAGTGTGGGAGGCTGGCTGTGATCGCTTCTCCCCCTGTCCTGATGGATTCTGCAGATAGACTGCAAAAGGGTGTGGCTTCTAGTCTCAGCTGCAGTACAGAAGTCCATGTTGAAATAACAAGTAGTATCAAGAAATTCATCTTTATGAACACGGGAAGGAGGCAGTACTAGTGATTTCAATGAAATAATTATTGCATTTACTTCGTTTTACAAAATCTGTATTTTTAATTTTTTTTAACATGAAAAAAATCTATTCCCACATAGCTCTGGAAACAATGGACCTGCATCATGAGAGACAACGCCCCATCTAATTATTATTCAGGTCACACCCATCTGCAGCATTTCTAGCAAATACTTTTGTTTCAACCATGAGAGGAACATGATCATAATACATTTGAATAAGTTTGAATGCTACTAGAAAATTTCTTTCTGAAAATTCATAATATTAACATGATCTAATTTTTTTTTTCTTTCCCTTCCTCAGCGTGAGTGCATCTCCATCCACGTTGGCCAGGCTGGTGTCCAGATTGGCAATGCCTGCTGGGAGCTCTACTGCCTGGAACACGGCATCCAGCCCGATGGCCAGATGCCCAGTGACAAGACCATTGGGGGAGGAGACGACTCCTTCAACACCTTCTTCAGTGAAACCGGCGCTGGCAAGCATGTGCCCCGGGCAGTGTTTGTAGACTTGGAGCCCACAGTCATTGGTGAGTGACCTTAGGCATCCGGGGTGTGAGGTGGGGGCTGGGGGGCAGGAGTGTCCTGGGGGCTCCGCGGACTTTGTGGGGTTGAGCAGGCTGGTGCGGGTTGCGGCTGATGGGGGTGCTGGTTTTTCCTTTTCCAGATGAAGTTCGCACTGGCACCTACCGCCAGCTCTTCCACCCTGAGCAGCTCATCACAGGCAAGGAAGATGCTGCCAATAACTATGCCCGTGGCCACTACACCATTGGCAAGGAGATCATTGACCTCGTCTTGGACCGAATTCGGAAACTGGTATGTTTATTCTTAGAAATAAAATGTAATTGATTTTTACAATCCTAAGGAGGATGTTAGAAAAAAACAGCAAGATATTTCAAGTGCAGTATGGCGATATAATAAAAAGCTAATGATTTGATCCTTTATCATTTTTTTGGAATTCAATTAAACCATGGACTATCTAGTGTAATTTAATGAAGAGTTTTTAAATTATGAATTGCTAAATAATCAAACACCTTTTTTAAAAAAGTGTTTCTTGATTGAAATAAGATTTGTATCCCTGTAACTATATGAAAAGTAAAAATATGCTTACTGGGGTCGGGGAGAGACAATAGGACTATGGTGAAGGGAGTGACACCTGGGTGGAGATTGCTGGTATGGCACTGGAATATTTCATGATTGAAACCCTACCAAAAACTGTTTGAAAACCATGGTGCGCAAAGTAAAATCAAATTTTAAAATAAGTAATAAAATTCTGAAAACAAAAATAAAATAAGAATATATTTACTGTGGTTCTATCATATAACTGTTTTCTCTCTTCTTTTTACAGGCTGACCAGTGCACCGGGCTTCAGGGCTTCCTGGTGTTCCACAGCTTTGGTGGGGGAACCGGTTCTGGGTTCACCTCCCTGCTGATGGAACGTCTCTCCGTCGACTATGGCAAGAAGTCCAAGCTGGAGTTCTCCATTTACCCAGCCCCCCAGGTGTCCACTGCAGTGGTGGAACCCTACAACTCCATCCTCACCACCCACACCACCCTGGAGCACTCTGACTGTGCCTTCATGGTGGACAATGAGGCCATCTACGACATCTGTCGTAGAAACCTTGATATTGAGCGCCCAACCTACACTAACCTGAACAGATTGATAGGTCAAATTGTGTCCTCCATCACTGCTTCCCTCCGATTTGATGGGGCCCTGAATGTCGATCTGACCGAATTCCAGACCAACCTGGTGCCCTACCCCCGAATCCACTTCCCTCTGGCCACATACGCCCCTGTCATCTCTGCTGAGAAAGCCTACCACGAACAGCTTTCTGTTGCAGAGATCACCAATGCATGCTTTGAGCCAGCCAACCAGATGGTGAAGTGTGACCCTCGCCATGGTAAATACATGGCTTGCTGCCTGTTGTACCGTGGTGACGTGGTTCCCAAAGATGTCAATGCTGCCATTGCCACCATCAAGACCAAGCGTACCATCCAGTTTGTGGATTGGTGTCCCACTGGCTTCAAAGTTGGTATTAACTACCAGCCTCCCACTGTGGTTCCTGGTGGGGACCTGGCCAAAGTCCAGCGGGCTGTGTGTATGCTGAGCAACACCACGGCCATTGCTGAGGCCTGGGCCCGCCTGGACCACAAGTTTGATCTGATGTATGCCAAGCGTGCCTTTGTTCACTGGTACGTGGGTGAGGGCATGGAGGAGGGAGAGTTCTCTGAGGCCCGTGAAGACATGGCCGCCCTGGAGAAGGATTATGAAGAAGTTGGTGTGGATTCTGTTGAGGGAGAGGGGGAGGAAGAAGGGGAGGAATACTAAAGTTAAAATGTCACAAAGGTGCTGCTTTTACAGGGAAGCTTATTCTGTTTTAAACTTTGAAAAGTTGTGGTCTGGTCAGTTAATTTGCATGTAGCAGTTATACTCCCATATGCAGTTACTGACCTAAACGTTAAGATATGGTCCAAGCTGTAGCATTTCTGTGAGGGGTTTGAATAAAGTATTCCCTGTCTTAAATGAATACAGTCTTGTGTTTTCATTTTGGATGTCTGAAATTTTTTATGTGTTTAGGTCACTGAGAACAAAGTCTAACTGGCTAAGCCAATACCATAGTGACTTATTTTGCTTTTGCCTTAACATTAAATGTAAAACTTAAAAATCTAAAAATCAACAGGGCTAGAATGATAGCACAGCGGTAGGGCGTTTGCCTTGCACATGGTTGGCCTGGCCAACCCCGGTTTGATTCTAAGGCCCCTCTCGGAGACCCCAGCAAGGTACCCGTGATGCATTCAATATGCTAAACACAGTTAACAACAGGTCTCACAATGGAGATGTTACTGGGCATGAGCAAATCAATAGACAACAGGAGAACAGTGCTACGGTGCTTTTTTAACTCCATTTTAATAGATACTAAAGTTGCTACTTTTTAGAATTTTTTTTAAAAATCGCCAACATCCCATAGGGTTCTCTGAGCACTGCCAGGGAGTAATTCTTGAGTCAGGAGTCAGATTTGAACATCACTGAGTGTGACCCAAAAAGCAAAAGAGAAAAATAAAATCCCGTCATAAATGTACTTACGCTTTTTGAATAGCAAACTTTGAAAACTAAACAATGAATAAAAATAGGTGTTAAAAAAATAGGGACCAGAGAGATCACGGAAGTGATGGAACAGAGGATTGAATTCCTGCCCAGACCTTCATCCCAGCACTACACATCTCCTCCTCACCCCACCCCACTCCAGATGGAGCCGCAGGGGCTTCTGAGCACTGCTACGCAGGCGCCCGTGAAAACAAGGGGGAAATATCGGAAAAAACCTCCCACTTTCCTGATGCCATTTCAAACCATAATTGCATATTTTTTCACAGTTGTGATTATACACAGGGAAAGGCCTTTCATTGTTTTCCAATCAACCATGCCTTTTCCAAACCACATCCAATTCTCAGTACTCTCCTGAGCACCTGCGTAATATTTTATCGGGTTGACTTTCAAACTCTGTTGAGTCACTTCGTGCAGGGCGCAGGTAATATAGGGGTCCCACCAGTTACACGGGGGGTATAAACCCGTGCACCTGAGTTCCTTGCTCTGCCCAAGAGGTGAGCCAGAGTGAGCAGTGTCCACGGCCAGCAGGCTGTCCCCAGAGATGGCCTGATTTCCTGACACCCCCTCTCACCGCGTCACTGATGAACCCCGAGAGTTACCCGGGTCAAACCCTGGTCAAACCTGGGTGAAACCCGGGTCAAAACGCGTGCTAAGCAAACACCCTCCCTGCTGGACTATCGCTCCAGCCCCAGGATTATTTTTTTTTAAGCAGTGTTTTTTAAAAAATATTTTTCAGGGGGCTGGAGTGATAGCACAGCGGGAGGGCATTTGCCTTGCACGCGGCCGACCGGGTTCAATTCCCAGCATCCCGTATGGTCCTCTGAGCACTGCCAGGAGTAATTCCTGAGTGCAGAGCCAGGAGTAACCCCTGTGCATTTCCAGGTGTGACCCAAAAAGCAAAAAAAAAAAAAATTTTTCAAGAGTTGAGCTGTGAGCTTCGTCATTATATGTAGTGTCTTTAATAAAAAAAAGAAGTAGTATGTCAGAGAGGGCACTGGTCTTGCATGTGGCTGATGCAGGTTCAATCCCCAGATCCCCCTGATGTCTCCTGAGCACCACTAGGAGTGATCCCTGAGCACAGAGCCAGGAGTAAGCCCTGAGTACCGCGGGGTGTGGTCTTCCTTCAAAAAGATGCTATTAAAACTGGGTGTCTGTGTTTGCTTTTGTTTGGGAGGTGGTGGGGTCTCCAGATGGTGCTTAGGAGGCTGGGGGACATCACCGCGGCAGCCTTGGCCAACTGGGCTGTGGTCTTCGTGCCAGGGCTTGAGGTTGCCGTGTGGGGGATACCCTGGCGGTGCTTGTGGGCCCCCACGGCTGTGCCTCATGTCCTCTGAACCTTGTGATGCCATGAATGAACTCCTCGCCTCCCCTGGCTTTGGGGAGACTGGCCCCAAGGTCTCACGTTTAAATCCACATTCCCGGCCCTAATGGTTGGCTTGTTTGTTTGTTTGGGGACCACACCTGCTGGTGCTCAGGGGTCACTCCTGGTGGTGCTCGGGGGACCGCACGGGATGCCGGGGATCGAACCCTGGTCTGCTGCCGTGTAGGGCAGGTGCCCTACCCTCTGCACTGGCACTCTGATCCTGGTGGTTAGATTGTTAATGAACTCATTGGGCGCCGTTTTTTGCCTGCAAGCTCTTGGGGCCCTCCAGGAATTCCTCCCTGGGTGTCACCTCGATGTCACTCTTCAGGGACCTGCTGCTGTCCCCCAGCCTCTGCCTCCCCTGGCTGGATGATGTCCCACCTGCGGCCCTCTCTTCCCGCCCTGGCACTGACTGCCACCTGGCAGGACCATGTCATCAGTTCAGGCCTGAGCCACTCCGTGACAGGGCAGAAAGCAAGTGGGCCTTGGTCATGGCCTGGGGCCTGTCCCAGGGGGCTCAGGACTTTCCCTGAACATCTGCCCGGCCACCCCTGTGCCTCAGAACCCTCCTTGGAACATGTCAGTTTGCTCCGCAGACAGACTGACTTTACTCTGGGGGTCTTGCTCCCTCTCACCCTGCCCCCTCAGGTCAGAGCCTCCTGCCAAGAGACCAGATCCAGGGGCGGCTCCGCAGGGCCGGTCTTCACTCCCTGCTGGTGCCAGTGCCCTTGACCATGACCTTGACTGGGCCTGTCACTGTCACCCGGACCAGGCCTGTGTGCCGCCTTTTTCTTACCCTGCTTCCTTTTTTTTTTTTTAAATTTTATAAGGTAGTTCACAATATTTGATTACATTTAATATTCAGACACCAATCCCACCACCATTACACCTTCCCACCACCAAATTTGGGATGTTTCCATCTCAAGCCCTGATCCCTGTCCCAAAGTACAACTGAAATAATGTATTTTGTATTGTTTGTTGGACTGGAGCAATAGCACAGTGGGTAGGGTGTTTGCCTAGCACGCAGCCGACCTGGGTTCAATTCCTCCGTCCTTCTCGGAGAGCCTGGCAAGCTCCCTGTGGCGTATTCAATATGCCAAAAACAGTAACAAATCTCACAATGGAGACGTTACTGGGCCTGCTCAAGCAAATTGATGAACAACGGGAGGAGAGTGATACAGTGCTTTTTAAAATAGCCATACCCTGCAGTGTTCAGGGTTCATCAGGGTGGTGCTTGGTAGTACATAGATGCCAGGAATTGAACTCAGGCTATCTCCTGGCCCCGTTTTTTATAATTAATATCTACTAAACTAATACACATCCAAAGGTCTAGATGGTTGCTGAGTTTCCTACAAATAACATGAATGATGAATAACCCAAATGCATCAGCTTGTCTGTAAAGGTCGTTTTCATGCCCACACATCTTCGCACTTGGCAATGAGTGTTGCTATCATGTTGCCTCCACTCCGGATTCTCAAAAGAACTCTTCTCTGAGCAATTGTCCACTCTGCTGGAGGTAGTTTATTTTCTTCTAAACTTAATTTCAGTTAACTGTCACAAAGGAAAAGCCAGATAAATGTATTCATTCTAATGTGCTATTTTTATATATCTGAATTTGAATTCTTCAGGGATATTTTATTTTAATAAGGGCCAGTAGCTATGAAGAAAACGAAGTAATTGTTGGCAACAGTAACAATACTAAGGAAACATTTTGAAGCACAGTTTCAACATTCAAGTTTCAGAGTTCAGCTGACAATCCAGTTGAGAAAAGGCTCAAGGACAGCAGGTTTCTGGTGCTATCACTTACTTTATCCTTTTCCACACCAAGGATGCAGCTCAGTGGTAGAGCACTTCCATGCTGCAGAGGTCCTGGGTTAGATTCCCAGCACCAAGAAGAGTTTTCAAACAGATCAATGAAGTTATCAATGACCTTGGAACTGAGGACAAGAGCTCTGAGCTAGGAGCAGTCTCCCACCCCAGTCCTGAGCACCATCATGTGTAAGGTCCAAAAACAGAACAACAAAAATTATCTTGTTCCCAGATAATATCTAGTGGTGAGAAAATAATATTTGTTTTAATACCTATTGTAGTACTGTTTCTCCTTTGGCACAGCCAAATTAAGGGTATCATAGTTACTGAAATGTAAATAAATAATAAACCAAGAGCAACTAATTTTGTGTGTCTGATGTTGGGAAATCAAAATCAGCACTTCATACATACAGGAAAGGCAAGAGTATACCACTTGAGTATTTTCCCAAACCCAAGATTAACTAAATTGTTCTTAGGACACACTGGGTAATGCTTGGTGGATATTCTCTTTCTGTGCTCTGGGATCATTTCCGATGGCATTGAGAAGACCATGTGATGCAAGGGACTGAACCCATGTCTCCCGAATGCAAAATATGCATGCAGTCCCTAAAGCTATCTATCTGGTCCCAAGCCCTCAACTCATTTTAAATCTAATACAATACTGCTCAGTATTTTCACCAGAAGCTAATGCAGACAGATGTAATGCACAAAAATAGACTTGTTAATTTGTTGCTTTTATTGAGAATTTTTAAATTGGCAACTAGATCAAATGGAAGTTTTTTGGGCTGCTTTGTTTTGTTCCAGTTTCGGTTTTGGGTTTTGACTGTACCCAGCTGTGCTCAGGGATCACTCCTGGTAGGGCTCAGAGGACCTTATGTGGTGCTGGGAAGGGAACCCAGGTCAACCACCTGTAAGGCCTTATCCACTGTATTATTGCTCTGGCCCTCAAAAGTAAGGTTTGAGGCTGGAGCAATAGCACAGCGGGTAGGGCATTTGCCTTGCACGCGGCCAACCCGGGTTCAATTCCCAGCATCCCATATGGTCCCCTGAGCAACGCCAGGAGTAATTCCTGAGTGCAGAGCCAGAAGTAACCCCTGTGCATCGCTGGGTGTGACCCAAAAAGAAAAAGAAAAAAAAAGTAAGGTTTAAGGTATATTCACAGTCCTTACCAAAATATTAGGGATAAGGTTAGATTCTTTCTTTCTCTTTTTTTCTTCCTTTATTTCTCTTTTTTTTTTCTTTTGATTTTG